TGACATTTATCAAAGTTCAAAGAGTTTCTACAGGTGTGTTGTTTACGAAGTGGATGCCACTACTGCTTCCAAGAGTTAAGTCTAGGATTCTACAATTACTCCAGTTCCACACCCCAAACATTCAGTTGTCCTGGCTGCAAAAAAAAGCATCATCACCCAACGGCATTGCTTTTACATTTCTCATCCTGATGCTCTACTGCCTCCAAGTGCCAATATGTAACATGGCAGGCACAATGAGTGATTTTCAATTTTTAATGTGAAAATTTCAATTTACAGTTACTATGGTAACCTATTATATTTATCGTTATTGTTGTTGTCATAGTTGCTGTGATGTTGAACACTGTGACACTGATGTGCCAAACGTGGTAATGGTTACCTGTGGCGGACAGTGTTTGCTAGAGCTTCCCAACTAAAACAAGCCTGGAAACAGGAGTGGGTGGCATGCACTTCCGAAATGGCTTGCCTCTGGAAACTCTATGTATGATCAGGACTCAGGCCTTTTGTTCATGGGTTGCTATGAGTCGTCTACGACTCGATGGCACCTAACAACAACATTATATTTATCACCTACATTTAATTTTACTTATATTTTTACAAATTTGATTTACATTTTAATGTTAAGCAAACAACAGTATCAGGATATTTTATTAAGATATATTGGCATGCATCTCTAAAAATAAGAACATTTTAAAAATAACAGCAGTCACATTATCGCACTTAATAAAAATAACTTGTCAGTATACTCTAAGACATCTATATTCAAGTTTCTTTCATTTTTTAAAAATACCTTTTGAAGTTGGTTTGTTCAAATTAAGATCTAGCATATGTCCTGTCACGTGTTGTATCTTTTGTCTCTCATACTTTTGTCTCAGGACCTTTTCAAGAACTCTGGCCAGTCTTCTGGTAGAATCCCTCTACCTGCTGTTGGTGATAGGATGGTATTAACCAGGCTGCTCATTGGAGGCAAGGATCCTGAGGCTTCATCTAACATACTTTGGACATGTTGTAAGAAGGGACCGGTCCTTGGAGAGGGATGTCATGCTTGCGAGGGCAGAAGGACAGCACAGGAGGGGGAGACCCTCTATGAGGTGGATTGATTCAGTGACTGGGGTAATCAGGATGGGTGTGTCGGAGGTAGTGCGATTGGCACAGGACAGAGCAGGGTTTAGGGCTGTTGTACATAGATCGCTGTGAGTTGCAAGCAACTCGATGGCACACAACAACAACAACAACAACAACAACCCACTTTACCTCAGTCACTGTATCAATTAATCTCATTGATGGTCTCTCTCTGTGTCCCTCAACCCTTCCAAACATGATGTCCCTCCTTGCCTCCAAGGAGCAAGCCGGTTTCACCCTCTCTAGGACGAATCTGTTTGTTTTCCTAGCAGTCCATGGTATATTCAACAATCTTCTCAGCACCACAGCTTAAAGCCATCAGTTCTCCTTCTGTCATCCCTAGTCACTGTCCATCCAGCTCACTGATGCATAGCAAGCAATTGCAAAGACTATGGCCTGGATCAGCTGCAACTTAGTCTCCAGACAGACGTTGTTGCTCTTCAGTACTCTGGAGAGGTTCCTGACAGCCAACTTTCCCACTGCAATTTGTCTCTTGATTTCCTGGCTGCTGGTACCAAGAGTGTAGATTGGGGAGCCAAGCAAACTAAAGCTGATAACAATCTCAATTTCTTAGCCATTCATCATGATGCTGCCAATAGGCCCAGTGGTGAGAATATTTGATTTCTTGATATTGAGCTTCAATTCATCTTGAAGGCTGCAGACCTTGATTTTCTGTACCAAGCACTTCAGGTCCTCCTCAGTTTCAGCAAGCAGGGTTGTGTCATGTGCATAACACAGGCTGTTGAGAGTATCATATTTAAAGTCCAGGGGCTAGATTTGGACTCTGGTCCTTGCCATTGTGTATGGCTCAAGGAACACCGTGTGTGTGTGTGTGTGTGTGTGTGTGTGTGTGTGTGTGTGTTCTTTGTAAGCGGATAGTGATAAGGAGTGGCATGAAATAATTAAGGCATAGCTATAACAAGTTTTGTTTGGAGTGTTGTTGTTAGACTCAGGCTCATAGAGACTCTTTGCATGATAGCTCTGAACCCTGCTCTATCCTGAGACAATCCTACTGCCTCTGATACACCTACCCTCATTACTGAGTTTAGGATGTCAGTCTATCTTAACTGAGGTTTTCTTCTCTTGCTCTCTCCATCTATCCTTTCAAGCATGATGTCCTTCTCCAAGGAATGGTCCTCCTTGGCAACATGCCCAAAGTATGTGGGACAGAGCTCTAAATCCTTGCCTCCAAACAGTACTCTGACACATTTCTTTCATTATTTTAAACCATACAGTGTCCCCTTGTTCTGTATGGATAATGCTTCATGTTCAGTGAATACACTATTGAAGGAGGAAAATGAAAGATTTAGTTTAAACCCAGAGAATGTGCTAACAAACAACATTGGAGGCCTTGTATAGCAACACTGTTGATGAATGGGCATTTTGCTGTAGTTGGTCTGAGGCGGGGAAAAAAAGGCATCAGCCCCAAGAGAAGGCAGGGCAGGGTTTTTAATCTAGCAGCTACAAGTTACTTAGGCCAGCCTATCTTCCAGCTGTTTTCTTCTTACCTGTTATTTGCTTCCCCATGCTGCTGGCTGTTGTAACTGGCCTTGCTCCTAAGGGCTAGGCTTTAAGAGAGGAGGGGATAATTTATCCCCTCAGGAGAAGAGGAAACACAAGAAGAAGCGCCTGGTGCAGAGCCCGAATTCCTACTTCATGGGTGTGAAATGTCCAGGATGCTACAAAATCACCACGGTCTTCAGCCATGCACAAACAGTAGTTTTATGTGTTGGCTGCTCCACTGTTCTCTGTCAGCCTACAGGAGGAAAAGCAAGGCTTACAGAAGGATGCTCTTTCAGACGGAAGCAGCATTAAGAAAAAAATCAAGATGAAATTATCTCAATAAACAGAATTTTGGATTAAAAAAAAAAATTTATCCCCTCAGGCTTTCAGGCCCTAAAGAAACGATGACTGCTGGGAGAACAAACAGGTTCATCCTAGAGAGGGTGAAACAAGGCTGCTCTTTGGAGGCAAGGATTCTGAGGCTTTACTTGACATACTTTGGGCATGTTGTAAGGAGGGACCAGTCCTTGGAGAGGGACATCATGCTTGGAAGGGTAGAGGGGCAGAGAAAGAGAGGAAGATCATTGATGAGATGGATTGATTCAGTGATGAGGGTAATGAGGGTAGGTATGTCAGAGACAGTAAAGTTGGCACAGGATAGAGCAGGCTTTAGGAGTTGTACATAGGGTTGCTATAAATCACAAGCAAATCAACATCACATAACAACATTAGAAAGCTTACGGAAAGAAGGGCCTGGACCTTGGAAGCTTTGACAAGGCTTGGATTTTATTTACTTTGATTTCTCATTGTCTGGATTTAACAGGACACTTAATTGTGCTCATGCAAGACCAATACCCAGACCAACAGATGTTCTAGGAGGACAGCAAGGGAATATAAAATCAAGACAGGTGCGTGTCAGGACTGTATCCTTTCTTCATACCTATTCAACCTGTTCACTGAGCAAATAATTTGAGAAGCTGGACTTTATGAAGAAGAATGTGGCATCAGGATTAGAGGAAGACACATCAACAACCTGCATTATGCAGGTGACATAACCTTGCTTGCTGAAAGAGAGAACTTGAAATGCTTTCTTGCTGCAGAAGATAAAAGACTCAATATAGATTTTAACTTAACATCAAAAAGACAAAAATTCTCATCCCTGGACCAATATGCAACATCGTGGTCGCTGGAGAAAAGATTGAAATTGTCAAGATTTCATCTTACTTGGATCCGAAATCAACACCTTTGGTATCAGGCAGGCAGTCAGGAGATCAGGAGACATAGAGGGGAAAGTCTGTCAGGGATCTCTCCAAATTATTAAGACAGGTGCACCTATTGCAAGCCATCGTCTTTTCCATCATTTACTATACATCTGAGAGCTGGAGAATGAATAAAGATGACAGAAGAATCGTTGCCTTTGAGGTGTGGTGTTGAATAAGAGCACGAAAGGACAGATGGAGAAGAGACTGCTAGAGTGCTCCTTTGGAGTCTAAGACGGCAAAGTTTTGCCTTACATACTTTGGACATGTTATTAGGAGGGACTGCTCTGTGGGAGAAAGATGGTCAGTCAACTCCCGTGCGATTTACTTCCTCTGAACCCCCCCTGTAGGGACAGCTATTGATCGATTCTAACTGTAAGGTACGCAACAATATTCTTCGGAAAGCGACATCATGTTTGGAAAGGTTAGTGAAAGAGAGGAAGACCCTCAGTCAGGTTAACTGACACAGAGACTATAGCAGTAGGATCAAGTGTGTCAGAGATGGTAAGGATGGTGCAGACCAGGATCTAACATCGCAGCCCCTAACAGCCAAGAGTAATCACCGTTTCTGGCACTGAGCTCACAAAGATTAGCTGAAAGATCTCCCTGCTTCACAGTATAGGGGTGGAGGGAAGCCACTTTAAAGAAATGGGCAGAAAGAGCAGCACCCCACCTACAACTCTCAGCTGGCTCGCCGACCTTTGCTGCTGAGTTGCGATCGATGACATAGAGCGTGCGCAATGAGAGCCCTTCGCTTGCACCCCTCTTATTTACTACAACTCCCAGCAGCCTCGCGGACCTCCGGCGCGTGGCGATGGATGTCGTAAGGCGCGCTCAATGAGCGCCACAATTTCCGGCAGGCTCGTGGGTCACCGGCGTGTCGTGATGATGACGTAAAGCGCGCGCTGTGAGAGCCACTCTGCCTCATTCCCTTTACTACAACTCCCGGCAGACACGTGGACGACAGGGGCGTCTTGGATGGATGACGTCAGGCAGCAGCGCGGGGAATTTCGAGTGACGCTAGAGCGCGGGAGACCGGTGGGTGGTGGAGTCTCTGCCTCTTCATTTGAGACCATGGCCTCCCTGGCGGAACCAGGATGGCCTCCGAATCTAGCAGTCATGAAGGTGAGTGCTTTGGAGAGGGACGGGGCGCCCTGGTGTCCACGTATGTTCGTAACTAGCGAGGGAGAAAGGACGACTTAGCATTCTGGGCCTGGCCCCTGAATCTACTCAATCTTTTGCTGGCTGTCAAAGCCTCTTGGGCCTGTTTTCTCTCCTGCAAAGTGGCGAGGGTAGATTTCGGGCGATCTTACGTTGACTGTTTTATGGAACCAGGTATTCACTCTTCAGGCACAACAATTATAGCGACGTTGAGGAAAACAGGTGCCAACATAAATAGAATGATGACAACAACTATTTTTGTGAGCTTACTATGTGCCAAACAGCATGTTAAACTCTCGCAGTGCATTAATGGCACCAGACATGATTTTGGGAGGACATTGCATCAAGTGACATTGTGTTATGAACCAAATACTCTTTTTTACGTTTCCTTTAGTACTCTGGAGGTTCCGTGCTGGGTTGTGCTAACATTTGCTCCAGCTCCTTAACATTTCTGACAGCTCTAGTAATTGATCACCGTTTTCACCTTTAAAGCAATCAGGAGTCACAGTCAACACCCCAAAGATAAAAACAAAAAGCCACTAAAGAAGTTAATTCCAATTCATAGCAATCGTGTAGGTAGAATAGAACTGTCCCTTAAGGTTTCCAAGTCTGTGGATCTTTACAGAAGCCAATTCTGCCTCCGCATATTTCACTGGAGGAGCAGCTGGTGCCTTCGAACCACCTAATTTGTGTGGCAGCTGAATTCCTTCACCGCAGTGCCACCAACAGTTCTTGGGCTCAGCACTGTTGTTGCTATTTTAGGTACTATAGAATAAATTCTGGTTCAGAGATGCTATGTATAACAGAGCAGAAGTACCTTGTCCTTGTAATTGCTTCAACCCATTGTTGGAACTACTGTGTCAGTCCATCCTGTATAGGGTCTTTTTTTCACTGTCTGCTGTACCAAGCATGATGCCCTTCTCCAGGGTCAGGGGCATTCACAAAATATGTGAGATAGAATCTTGCCATCTCCATATTCAAGGAGCATTCTGGCTGCACTTCCTCCAAGACAGACCTACTAATTTCTTTGGCAGTCTGTGATATGGTCAACATTCCTTCCCAACACCATAGTTAAAAGGCATCATTTCTCTCGTCTTGTTAATTGTTCTCATGTACTTGAGGTGATTGAAGATTCCATGGTGTGGGGCAAGAGCCCCGTAGTCGTCCAGTTATCATCTCTTGAGCATTTTAAAGATGTTCTTTGCACCTACCTTTCTTATGCAGGTTGTTAGATGCTGTAGGTTGACTAAGACTCATAGCAGCCCTATGAACAACAACTCTGAACGTTGCCCTATTCTGCGCGCTAACCTCACAGTCTCTGTCAGACTCAATCCTGTGGTGGTAGTCACTGTGTCAGTCTTGTCTCATTGAGGTTCATCCTCTCTTATGCTGACCTTTCCCAAGTTGTTCTCTTTTTCTAAGGACTCGCCCCTCCTAATAACACGCCATCCTTGCTTCTAAGGTTGCACTTTTAAAAATGTTTTTATTTATTCTTTTTTTTCTGGTTGTATTTTTTCCAAGATAGAGTTATTTGTTCTTTTGACAGTCCATGGGATATTCCACACTCTTCTCTAATACCAAAATTCAAAGGCATTGATTCTTCTTTATTCATTATTTAACTTTCACTTGCTTAGGAAGCAATTGAAAGAAAATACCATGACTCCTAGCAGGTGCACCTTGGTCTTTAAACTGACATATTTACTCATTTTCTCATTTTAGAGAAGTCTTTTTTTTTTTTAATTCATTGTTGCACATTTTCTTCCCCTTTCATTCCCCTTTCCCTAGCCCACTGTGCAGTACACTCCTTGTTCCTGATTATTCTTAGACATATAATGCTTAATCATATATTCATTCCTTTCAAATCGTTCTTCCCCTCGTCTGTTCTAACACAGTGTTCATTAGCTATCCACTCTTTTTCCAGTCTCTCTCCAATCCTCCCATGTTTGTCCTATATTTTAACAGTGGTGTCATGCAGTATTTATCCTTTTGTAACTGAGATAGTTCTCTTAGCATAATATTCTCAAGGCTCTCTCATGTTATATAATGTTTTACTATTTCATTGGTTTGCAATGCTGTGTGGTATTTCATTACCTCAGATTTTATCCTTGCAATCTGTCTTTTGATTTCTTGACTGCTTCTATGTGAGTACTGTTTGTGGATCCAAATAAGATGAAATCAGTGACAACTGTAGGGTTTTCTCTGTTTATCATGATGTTACTTACTGGTCCAGTTGTGAGGATTTTGCTTTCTTTATATTGTGATGTAATCCTTACTGACTTTACTCTTTGATCTTCATCATTAAGTACGTCCGGTTCTTCTTGTTTTCAGCAAGTAATCAACACTTGGTACCAGCAGCCAGGAAATTAAAATGTGAACTGTATTGGGAAAGTCTGTTGTCAGAGACCTCTCCAAGCTACTGAGAATCAATTATGTCAGTCTGGAGCCCATGATTCCATCACTGGGGTAATGGAGATAGATGTGTCGGAGACAATAAGATTGGCAAGGGATAGAGCAGGGTATAGGCTGTTGTACATAGGGTGAGTCGCAGGTGACAGCACATAACAACAACAAGAAGGTTGTGTTAATGATTCTTCTTATCCTGATGCTATTTTCTTCTTCATGTAGTAAGCTTCTTGGAATATGCTCATTATGCAGATTGTTTCAAGATTGTGAAAAGATACAACGCTGACATATGCCTTTTCTGATTATAAATTATGTCATATACTGTTGTTCTTTCAAATCACTGTATCTTGTTCCATGTACTGGTTCTGTCTGAACACAGGTGTTCTGGAATTCCCATTCTTTGCAGAGTTATCCACACAGTTGAGTGCCTTTGCATAGTCAGTAAAACAAAAGTAAGTATCTTTATGGTATTTGCTTTCAGCTATGAGGTACCTTGTTCCAATACTTCTTCAGAATCCAGCTTGAATTTCTGTTATCTCTGTTGATTACTGTAATTATCTTTATCAAGATTTTGGGTTTTTTTCTATTATCAGTGATATTGTTAAGTAAACATCTGCATTCTATTAGATTACTTTTCTTTAGAATGGACACAAATAGTGTCAAGTTAGTTGGTTTGGTTGATTTATTAAAGGCTTGACATTAGTTGCTAATAAATATTTCATTCATCTAGTACATATTTGTATGACTGTTTCTTGTTTTGGACCAGGCGTATCAGTCTTTTTTTACAGGACTGATAGACTTGATTTCTGCTAGAATTGTTCAAGAGTCTATCTATGTTGTATAGCTGCTTAGCCTTGGTTGCTTGGTTTTCCCCATTTGTGGTTGTGGACGGGATCACTTGTTCTTTTTGTCAGTTCCTTCATTTGTAAACTGAAGAGTGTAGTATCTGTTCCTCTGACTTCTAAGGCTGACCTTAAGAATTATATGACAGAACTTGGAGAGGCTAAATTAATGATAATGTTATTCCTGCTATCAGGTATCATCTGAAATCCTTGGGAACTTTAGACATTTTCATTTCACACATGGCAAAATGTAAAAAGATCCATGATAGCTCTGCTTTTGAAGTGATAATTTGTGTACCAAGATGCAGTGAAGAATTTTGAGGCCTACTGGTCCTGGATAAAGTTAAATCTTTGCTATTATAAGCTGTGTGACCTTGGATCAATTACTTAGCCTCTGTGGCACTCAATTTCCTCTTTGCTAAACTGGAAACTAAAATGTTCATGTTGTACTTAACTACCATCAAGTCAGCCTTTGACTCATAGTGACTGCAGGCACAATGGGATTGAACTGTTGTGAGTCATACTGCATTGACTAGTTTTCTAAAGTTGATCACCAGGCTTTTCTTCCTAGTGTGGCTTCCTATTTTAGAAACTTTTCTGAAACCTGTTCAGCATCAGAACAGCATGTCAACTTTCACTATCAGGAGGATGGTGATGACTATGTGGAATGGAACCCAGGTTTTCCAGGTGAAAGATGAGAGTTTTGCAAAATGGCCAGACCAGGTATTAGATAGAGATAAAGAGAGGCACATGAATGATGTCAAAGACAATGATCTGAAACCACCCTCTCTAAAAAGCCTAGTTCCACATGGAGAAAGTGGCCTATCCAGGTCTTTGGGACATATTTTTCCAATAAAACTATCCTTGTTTTTACTTTTATTTTTGTTTCCTTATCTTACCTGATAGTTGTACTTGTTGTTATTGTTGTTATGTGCCATCGAGTCGTTTGCGACTCACAGGGACCCTATGTACA